GACCCGCACCCCTCTGTCTAGCTGGGGAGTCCTGCCCCCCTCCCGCAGGCTCCATGGCTTTAGGCCTCTCTCACCCACCCTGCCACTCAGGCCCACGCCCGACCTTCACCAGGCAGTTCCAAGGACGCCCCCTGACTCGCCCCTTCAGGCCTGGCCAGCTGGGGGCCCACAACAGGGGCCAGGGGGTCCCTCCCACCACCCTCGCCACAGGCAGCTGCAGCCCCCAGAGGGACCCATGTGACCAAAAAGAACAAAATTGGGCCAGCCTGGAATGGCCCAGACCCTGCCTCCCTTCCTCCCTCCTGTCCTCACCCAGGCCAAGGCCAGGATACTGCGTGGGAGGGGGCTCAGGCCTCAGCCTCACGGTCTTCAGCTGTGACCTCTCAGGCTGGGCAGAAGGGACACGGGCTCAGGGGCCTGGCCTCCCACACCCGCCCAGGTGCCGTGGCCAGGACGGGGTGCGGCCTTCATGTGCTCTGCTGTGCAGGCTGAGGTCTGGCAGCCAGGCCTGTAGCGGTCTTCAGGGTGGGTGCCTGGAGAAGAGGAATGTGGGACGGGGGCCATGGTGCCTGGTCCCTGAGCAAGACGCCAGGTCCCAGGGACTCAGGCCTCAGGTGAGAAGGGGAGCAGTGCACCCTGGACCATGGCCAGCAGCCCTGGGCTGAGGCACACACTCATTTGTCACCGTCTGGCGGCGGCAGCCCTGGCCCCAGCCTCCAGACGGTTGGAAACCTGGCACCTCCCTGGTCTCTAGGATCCAGGCTCCACAGAGGACAGGGCTGGCCGGGCCCCTGGCTGCGGACGGTTGCCTGAGCCTGAGAGAAGACAGTCCCAGGAGAAGCTGGCAGGGGAAGCCGGGAGCTGGGAGCCCCAGAAAGCAACACTCGGCCATTTCTCCGAGGATCTCCCTGTCTCGGAGCAGCCTCTGCCCAGGGGACATGGGCTGTGAGCAGGCTGTCTGCACAGCCCATGGAGACCTGAGACCCGGGACAGCTGGTCTTGGGCTGTGTCGGTCACTTTGCCATCTCCAGACTCAGTTTCCCCATCTATGAGAGTCTAATGCTTCAGTATTTGCAGTGACTTGGACCTGGCTGTTGATGGGTTCCTTGAACCCCACAAAATCCCTCTCCAACCACAGGACCCTTCGGCTCACCAAGACTGGGGCCCAGGGGAGACCAGCCCCTGGGAAAGCTTCTTTTGCTGCGCTCAGGGAAGCTCAGGGAAGCTGAGCTTTCTGCCAAACCCCGCCTCCCCACCCCCGAGGGCCACCAACCCCAGGGAGGCAGGGCCAGCACAGAGGGGCCCTGCTCCCCAGCAGAGCTCCCATGACGTGGTCTGCTCTGGGTAGGGGAGCTTTGCCTTTGCCGCCAGCCAGGGGGTCCAGTGGTCAGCGCAGCCCCTACCCCTGCTCAGGAGTGGGCTCAGAGTTTAGCACATGCTAAGGCCCCTCAGGCCGGGCTCTGGACGAGGACAGGGACTTGAAGGCAGACACTGCAGCCTCAGACCCTTCTCTGGGGCTCCTGGACCTTGCACCATAATTTTTTAGCCTCAGTTTCCCCATCTAAGAGTGTGCGGTCGTTCCACCCTCTCAGCTGGATGGTTCTGCCCTGGAGGAACCCTCCGGAACAGACATGGATGGTACCCTGAGAGGGGGCAGACCCTCAGTAGACACGGGGTTTCCGGGGCGGGGTCTGTGGCTGCCACTGAAGCTGGCTTTTCCTGTTGGTGTCTTTACGCTCCTGTCTGCATTTGCTGTGGATAGGGGTACGTGTCCACACACCACGGACACAGCCACAACACCCGATCTCGCCTCATTAGCTCGAGGCCAGGCTATGATGTGACCCCAGAAGCTGGCCCCACGTGCCATGAGTGCATTGGTCATGGAGTCCGGAGCCCCTGAGCCGGCCCCCGTGATGGCGCAGCTCCCAGAGCTCAAACACCCACCCCACCCCCGCTCTCTGCAGCCGACGGAAACAAACCCCTGTATCTCTCAATAAAGGGCCCTCCGTGTGGACTTGAGTGTTGAGGGCCTGCATGTGCCCACCCACTCACTCACTCACCCACTCACTCACTCACCCACTCACTCACCCACTCACCCACTCACCCACTCACTCACCCACTCACCCACTCACCCACTCACCCACTCACCCACTCACCCACTCACCCACTCACTCACCCACTCACCCACTCAC